ATTTCTATATATATATATATATATATATATATATATACATACTATATATATATACATACATACACAATTGAAGCAAGTTCCACTTTCGATTTGTTTCTCTCTGTAATTACATGCATATGTATGCATGGATGCATGTATGTATGCATGAAGACATCAACACGTTCCCTAGCAGCTTTCAAAACACCTCTCTATATTTTGTTTTTCACTTAATCAATGGGCAAACAATCGTCAATTGACTCTTTCCCTCTCATTGTTTGAAACATTTCTGATTAGAAAAATAAAATAAAATTGCCAAAGCATTCTATTATGTTGGTATTCTATGGTATTTTTCTATGAAACTCAAAATAAGGAATTAAGTTCTACAGTATTATCTTGAAACTTGCGAGTCATCTACATTTATTCTTTGTGGCACTCCTCTTCCAACCATAGTTCAATGCGTCCTAATTTTAGTCTGCCTAAGCAAATCTCATGTTTAATAATAAAAACAGGAATAATCCAAACAACAATCGGAGAACGATATTGCATATCCTATGTTTTGTGTAAGACCATTCACATATCTAAAATGCCAACTTGTATCTTATTTTATATTATCCCCCCTTGAGTATATGATACAAGGGTTTTTGCAGGCATCAGATTAACTCTAATGGCAGGCTTTTGAGTTAAACACTAACATCCTGCTCCTATAAGGAGGCATTTTGTTATTTGTTCTTCAGTTACTGTCAATTAATTTTATATATCTCTATAAAACTATGAATCTGAGTTTGTATGGGCATCCATAAATTATTGCTTTTGTTTTTGTGCAGGCAAGAAAATTACAGGAGAGAGGATGGCAACCGAGATGGTTTAGGAGAGACAAGGAAGATGGCTCTTATCGTTATATTGGGGGATATTGGGAGGCAAGAGAGCAAGGCAGATGGGATGGCATTCCTGATATATTTGGTCAGACTGTTGCTGAAGCACCTCCTCCAGCTGTGGAGTAAGCTGGCTCTCGCTCTTTCTCTCTCTCTCTCTCTCTTCATTAAGATTGATGTTAAGATAATATGTATTCAGAATACTCTCTCTCATCCAGGGTTCCAAAAACTTGGTGACCTGATTCGGAACCACCAAAGTCAGCTTTGGGGAGTGGTCCAAGTCCCTCATGTTATTAGGACTTGGACCATTTTCTTAACCTTGTTTAAAACTTTTAAATTACATTTTTTTATTTATTTCTTGATTGGCCGAGTAGGCTGAAACAAAGCCCTGAGTCAGCTGATCCGACTTGGAAGACGTGGGTGATTGGTTTAACCCACCGGTCCCAACTTTTTACACACTGCTCATCTGATAATATCTTTATCTATGTAGCTTCAATTGTAATTTATTGGCTGATTTAGGTACTGCCGAGGAACTCATGTTATGGAGCAAGGGTTTGAGTAAGGGTTTTGCTTGGTATTGATGGTGGTTTATTCCTGGAAATTGAAGGAAAAGACAACTTAACTTCATAGGATGTGAATTTTCGTTGAAATTGAAGGAAAAGAGAATCCATAGAATGTGAAGAAAAGATAGTTTGAAGGACTTGCGACTCACAGAGGGGCTCATTTATGCTGGATATGCCATGCGTCATCAACATGGTTTACAACCGTCAAGCGATGACCAAATCGGATCAAATATTATACAAGAGTGTATTACTTTTTTGATAAATAATTTTAGAAGAAAAATGTGTATCCTCTCCCTCTCACATTTGCCACGTCTTGCAATTTGATGTATCAGAAGGCATGGACTTCTCAAGTTTCATTCTTTTTTTATAGGTTAGTTTTAAAAATAATTGCCAGGAAGGTGGTCAAATCACTAATACGATGGTTGCTTATTTAAAAATCAATTCATTTAGGTATATCGTCAAATATTGTTTTAGAAGATACCCAAATTGTTTTTATTTTGATTTTGAAACTATGAACGAACGAGTACTTTTTTAGTAATTAAGGTATTCAAGTCGGACGTGGTTGCTATGCGGGCATGCCTACTAGAGCTACCCACCGTGCAAACTTAGTTGGACGGTGGTGATTGAAAGAATTTTGTCAAGTATCACCGCCGTGTTATTTCATTAGAAGTATTGTTCGGAGCTTGGAACCTAAAACAAAGGATACTTGCATTTTAAAAATATTGTTCGGACCTTGAATACTTGCAATTTTTGTCCTCGGTGATTTGAGTAGAACCAAAATTTTAGAATGGCCTTGAGTCACTGTTTGATTCCAAAACGACAATGGATTTTTCGACAAAATGAACATGTTCTTTCTTTGAAATATGGAACAAGCATTGATATTTAGGTATTTGGGTCAAATGTTTAGTACTTTTTGAATATTTTGGGTTTCATTATTGAGACATTCTTTTTCATTAAAATATTGTTTGGACTTCATAGCTTGAAAATTAAAACAAACAAGGGTGTTTATAATAGAAAAGGTATGTGGACATGAGAAAAAATGTTATTTTGATGTCCAAAATTAAGACATGAGAAAATATTTTTTCATTAAATTAAGGTGCTCTTCAAAATCTCAATAGAAAACGATATTTTTATATTTAAAATTCCTCAAATTGATCAACTCAACCTCAAGATGTAAGGATACAAGAACAAATAGATTCTAAGTTTTGGAAACTGTCCCATATTGTAATATATTAATTTTCAAGTGTTCATAAATCTGCTTGATGTATTCTATTTTCGAAGCTTTAAACTTTATAATTAGATATGAAAATAAAGTTTCAAACCATCACAAAGATTTTCAGTATCGAAAAACATATTCCGATACTATTTAAAGTTGGGCTTTACTTTGATTGTTTGTATAAAAAGTTTCTTAAATATCCTAGAAGATAATTTTTTTAGCAGTGAGAAAATATAACGATGAAAAAGGTGTAAGTGATTTTTTATTCAAATGCAGTGTTCCTTGGAAAATCCACCTTAGGGAAAGATCTAAGATTTGGAGTATATATTAAGTCACTCTAGAGGCATTTCCACTTCACATCTATGGTTTTGCAGATCACAAATATATTGTGGATCATCCTGGTTTGAGAATAATTAAAATGATGGTCACCGTTTCTAAAATAAACTTTACAATGGTATGCTTTTAAAGTTTAAATTGCTATTTTTTTTTCAGATTTATAATTAAGGTAGTGAGGTTTTCAACCTGTAAAATTTCACGTCTAAAATTCATCTTTAAGATGGAGTTTGAAGGAGATTGCGTTTGAAAAGTTGTGTTCGGCATCTTTAAGAGGGAGTTTGAAGGAGATAGCGTTTGAAAAGATGCGTCAGCTCATGCAGTCAAATCCATAGAAGTTGTCCAACTTAGGAAGGAAATAATGGCGTTAAATTGAGGTAAGGGGGTTTATTTATTTATTTTTATTTTTAACAAAGGTTAAAAGTTTTTTTTAATAATCAAAGAAGAGTACATTGAATTTTGAAAAAAAATCTTTTGTCCCTCTTAATTATTTTTTTTTAAAATATTTTTATATCCCATATTTTTATGTTTCATTTTTTGATAAATTCAAACTTTCAAAAAATATCTTCTAACCGTGTAATAAACCTATTTTTTAACTTAAACAAATATAAAAAACACATATTATTTTTAAACCCAATCATTTCTCTCTCTTTATTTATATATCCAAAACTTATCTCTTTCTCTCTCTCTTCGTATCTTTCGCTCTCTTTCCTCCTGTATTTTTTCAAACATCTTTTTCTCTCCTCCCTTATCCTCTCACATCTATAAAGTTTTTATCTCTCTTGAAGTTGGGAGGTGGCTTTTACAAAAAATATGTCTTTTAAAATTTATTTAACTTAAAACAATAGGTTTAAATTAAATTTAAGGTTAAAAGAAATAAACTCTACGTATTTTATGTCTAAAATATCTTTTAAAACCTTTAGATAATTGAACATTACAAATACAAAATATTGAGATATTTTACTTTTTAACCCTGGACACCAACGTGTCAAAATCTTTCTTGCGACATAGGAATCCAAGGTTTTGTAAAATAACCTCGTTTGAGCGCTATTATTGACCCTAACAAATTACTCTTTTCTTTTTCATCTTAACTTCTCTCTGTAACCTCTCTCTAGAATCATAGCCCCTTCTCGCTCTGGGATCATAACCTCCGGCCTCGACCACCACCACACACCGGCCTCGACCACCACCACACGCCACCCAAGTGTCGATCGTAACCTCCAACCTCCGTCACCACCAATAAACTCCGCCACTTGTATTCAATTTTCCGGCCACCCCACTACTAAGATCAGTCCAAATCCAAATTATCTCGTTTTGGCCCCTGGTTCTCTATCATAAGGCAGTATTTTTGCTATTTTCCACCCACCCAATATTGATCTCTCTCTGGTTCTCTATATTTCTCTCACCAACCATAAATTTTTACTCTTTTTTGCTCCCCCCAGTCTCGATATTTCACTATAAACCACCAGTTTTTGCTATTTTCAGGTAACCCCACTGCTCCTTTTTTTTTCTCTCTCTAGAAATCTCGTCCCCCACCCAACTGGATTTTAATGGAAATTTCAGGCTTCTCTGGTTCATAATCCATAGTATTTTCCACTAAAACCAACTCCTCCATTGTTTCACCAATCGATCTTTTCTCTCCTTGTCGAAATATGGCTCCAGAAATCTCCTGATTCAAAATTCCGGCCAATTTTCCGGCAATAGAGACCTCTCGTCTTGCTCGGTGTGGAATCTTCTGAAGATGCATACACAACGACACCAGATAATTACCAAGTGAGAGTGCGAGAGGCAAAATTCTCTGAACCAAATGGAAATGGATTTAAAAGGAAGAAGAGACCTTCAAACCATCAGCTTAATCGGATAAAAACAAACCATCAATTCAGAACCAGGGTGAGAAAAAGAAAGAAAGAGAGAATGAGACGTGAATTCCATGAAACACGATACCAGGGGTTTCATATATAAACAACAACCTATAACTTAAATGAAAACCTTATAAAAAGCACAAAACAAAGGAAGGAGGAGAGAGAAATCTGTTTTTTATTCCCCAAAGATTAACATAGACTCAAATCGCAACAGAACCAATAAACAAGAAAATGAGAGAGAAACCATAGGCAAGCAATTTCCCACATGCTTTTGACGAAAACCATGGGGCTCAAAACCAGATGTAATGGAGAGAAGTCCAAAAACAAAAGAAAACCACTGTAACAATCCCTTATTTCTCCTCACTCTCCTGCTCCGCTAAATTTAATCATCCATTAACAATTACCAATTTGGTTAAACCTCAAATGCAATTTAGTGTTGGACGCAGAGACCAATTCATGGCAGAGAGAGAAGATGGAGCAGAAGACTTCAGAGACAATGAAGAAGGGGGATGATGGAGGAGCAGAGGCAAACCAAAGAAAAGGCAAAACAGAGGTCACCCATGCCAAACTCGACGGATTTTCCTCCGGCATCTTTTGTCCCAAATATACCATGAAAATTGTACGGGAATTCTTTTCTACGGATGGAGTTGGAGAAAAAAGATGTCATTTTGTGATATATTTGTGTCACTTACATATAGTCAAAAGGGGTTATTGGAAGATACAAAAATTTCGAACCTTATGCTCCAATAAAGTTTTTGAAACTTCTCCTGGTGAATTGGTTTTAAAAAATATAGAATATGGAGAAATTTTCCCTTGAATCATTTATTTATTTATTTATTTCTCTCGAACATTAACAAATCAAAAGAGGATCACAAGTTTTACAAGAAGAATATAGTAGTCACTGGAAAAGATTGATTACCAAGGTCGAGGAATTAACTTCCCCCTAGCCAAATAATCTGCTTTCTCATTGTCCTCTCAATAACAATGTGCAGATCATCATTTAAAGCCAAAAAAATGTCTCTAATATCATGAAACAAAAATCTTAGTCTCTATAGAACATTGAATTTTTTTCCGCTCCAAGCTATAACATTCGTCAAATCTCCTTTGATAATCTTGCCACTTCCCCATCTAGGAATTAGTTTCAATCCTTCCAAAAGACCGTGAGCCTCAACTTCATTTGCAATAGCAATGCCACATAGACCTAAATATGTGGCCCAAGTTGTTTCTAATCAGCCCGCCATAGCCAGCTGCAATTGGATTACGAAAACTGTTGCCATCAAAATTCAATTTGATCGAGTTTGGAGGAGGTGGGAACCAAATAGGAGCTCTATGGCAAGAGTTAGTGTTGCCCAAAGTTGCCATTGCTAAGAGGTTGTTAATGATAAGGCTCTTTGGAGTAGAACCACTATCTTTGTGAGAGGAAAATCAATCTGCTGTGGAGGCCAGAATATTAGATTTTAACATAAGAAGCTCTATTCTAGTCCCCTCGAACACTCCTCTAATTTTGTCCTTCTATACACTCATATAACACTTACCCAAATAGAGCGCCATAAAGATATTGCCCACCTTCGGAATGGCAGGGGATAGCCATTGAGCAATGAGCAATGAGCAATGAGCAATATGCAATGTTATGGAATTTGTATGGATAAATTGATGCATTGGAGAGCCAAATTCCAAAGGTCAGAGGTGAAAGGGCACGATAAGAATAGATGTTGGGTAGTCTCATCGCTAGCTTTACTCAAGATACATACATTGGTTATATTGAACCCTTGCTTCTTTAGATTATCCATTGTGGCTAGCTTATCTTGACAAAGAATTCATAAAAACAATTGAACTTTAAGCGGTACGTAAAGTTTCTTTCTCTAAAAAAATCATGAGTCCAATTGTCTAAATCGATTACAAAAAAGTAGATCATAAACTGATTTTACAGAAAAATACCCTGAAG